TGTCCTGACACGGAGGAAGAAGGGAGGGGGAACTTTTCGGGGTTGTGTCACATGTCCCCCCGTCCTGACACAAGGGGGGGGCCGACTGGGAGCTGTACGCGGGGCGGAAGTGGGGGGCCTTCGCGGCGCTCCGGCGGCTGACCTCGAACGAGCTGCTGGGCACCCCCTACGCGAGAGACCACGCCGCGCGGGTGAGCGCCCGTTTCGAGGGCGGCAACAACGCGTATCGGGCGGTGGTCAGCGGCCCACCGCGGAGTGGGGTCTCAACAATGGCGGTTCTTTTTCTACGCCAGCTCCTCACTCGAAGGGCGTGTGCGAATCAACTGTTGCTTATTCTAGACAGCGAGCTGCTCTTTTCTCCGATGAAAAAGGAAAGAGAGGATGTTTTAGATATTGGGGCTATCTTTCAGATCATGGTGGGCGCCGTTTTTGATGCAGTTTGTTCTCAGCGTCAGGCTTTACACGATCATGTTTCCTTTTTGAGGGAGGTGTGGAGTTGCCTCGTGATCGCTACCCAGCCGCCTGAGTTTTCGAATTTGCCAGATTTAGTGGCACTCGTCGGGCGTCATGTCGTTGAGCAGTGGTCCGTCTCCGTGAATGAGATTTTTCCCATCCTTCGTGAAGCGTTTTCGAAAAGAAATCAGACTTACACTGATACGATGCCTCTAAAGACAAGGGATGCCGCGTTAGAAGTAATATTTTACAAATTTCCAGCCACTATAGCCGAATCCTTGCGTTTTTCCGGTGTATTTTTTGTGCTTGACAAGATTGAAGTACTAGGAGGGAATTTAAATCCGGCGAGTGTGGAGAGACCGCTTGGGGATTTAACGGCTATTCTCTCTGCGTTATGGAGAGATCACCACAATCATGTTCTGCTCGTCTGGCCGTCTACTTACGATTTTTCGAATTTTCCTTTTTCGTCCATGACAGAGCATGTCGATACGGTCGGTTTGCTTTCAAAATTGCAGCTTGAACGCGAAGATAAAATTTGTCTTCCACAGTATATACGATGTTCGGAAAAGCAATTTCCACTTGAGATATTTATGGGTTGCCCTGGATACCTTGCTTTGGTGCTTTCTCTTGTGCAGACGTTAGAGCCTTCGTCCTTCTCGACGAATTTTTTATCTTCTGAGGAAGGTTTAGGGAACAATAAAGAACTAAGACGGCCCTATGGAATCTGTATTAAAGAGGAAGAAGTAGAAAAGCTTCTCAGTCTGATGAGTCAGTTTTGTTCTGCCTTAAAGAGGTTTCTCTCTTGAGCAGTATTCCCTTAAAAGGGAATAAAAATGCATACCATTTGCTTAAAAGAAAAAAACACTTCAGCAGATTACATTAGATACTAGACTTCTTAAATTGCTTTATTGTGCCTTACGACAGGGAGCTCAAGGAATGGTTTTAGATCTCAACGTTTTGCTAATGTCTGTATTTTGTCTATTGAATTACCTTGAAATATAGATGTAGGGGAGTTTGCATTATTTCTTATTTTAATAATAAACAACTAGATTTCCCGTGTATATTTTCACAACCAAACAAAGTTAACCCAATGAATTTTGGTGCTTTACCATTATTAGTATTACTATCCTCTTTTTACTTTTCATGGTTTACATATATATATATATATATATATATGTGTTTTTTTGTTTTGCGTTATCTTCATCCCACAATATGTACTAACTTTATCAACACTTTTTTTCATACACCAAGAAATATCATTTATTTGTACCTTTTTTTCTGCAATACAAAAGAGAAAGAGTCTGTAGGAGAAGTATTTTTTCGCAAGGCTTAAATAATTTTAAGAACTTCAAATCCAAAAAATCCGCACCGAATACTTTCTTTTTATTTGTCATTGTCGATTGGGATTTATTTCAATGCTCAACGAATGGTGTTTGATCGAAAGTGACCCGGCGGTCTTCACAGAGCTTATTGAACGCATTGGTGTCCAAAACATCATCGTTGAGGAGCTAATTACGACGGATGAATCGGAATTGATGAAGTTCGACAACGTTTATGGTTTAATTCTTCTTTTTAAGTGGCATTCATCACGTGAGGTCTCAACGCATGGCACCCTTGTGAAAGACGCACCGGTTTACTTTGCGAAGCAAGTCATCTCGAACGCCTGCGCGAGCATGGCGTTGCTGAATATACTCTGTAATCATCAGGAAGACATTCAACTCGGCGAGGAGCTTCGCCATTTTCTGGTCTTCACGCAGGATTTGGACCCGACATTGCGGGGAACTCAAATCGGGTCCTGGGAGCGTCTGCGCGAGGCCCACAACTCCTTCGCGCAGCCGATGCTTCTCGAGAAAGAGGGGGCCTCCTCCTCACGGGATGGCGAGGAAAGCTATCATTTTGAGTCGTTTATTTATCGGAATGGCGGGATTTGGGAGCTTGACGGAATGCAGGATGGGCCAGTGCTTTGCGAGGAGGCTAATGAAGCAAATTATAAAGCGACTCTAATGGAGGTCGTGCGGCGGGTGATGGCGGACATCTCGGCAAAAGATACCGCGAGCACTGGGCGAGGAATTTCGTTCGTTTTGATGGCAGTTGTCGATGATCCTATTCCTTCCCTGGAAAGTGCGATCGAAAACGCGTTAAAAGAGGGAAAAGAAACGGCGGGGCTGCAGATGGAACTCGACCAACGGAAAGCAGAACGTGAGCAGAATCGAAAGGAGAATCGTCGCCGACGATTTAATTACGTACCAATGATCGTGGAGCTCCTCATGACGCTCGCCGAAAAGGGAAAACTAGAGCCTGCGATTAATAATCAGAAAACGGAAAAGGTTAATAGAGCACCTAAAAATGCGAAAATTGAAAAATAAGCTGCGAAATCAATATGAAAGGAGACATCTTCAATAATTCCTTACGATAATATTAGTTGGAATGCTGTGAAGACTATTGTTATAAAGGACATTAAGAGACGAACATAATTTTTAAATCCAAATCGATACACTCATCATTTTTTAAAATGTATTTCACCGTTACCTTTGCAATTATTTTTAACACATTCTAATAGTTTCGTTTTTTTTTGCAAATTAAGAGATTGCATCAAGAGGCGCTGAAGAATACCTTGCAGTTGTATTAACCTTTTATAAAAAGAACTATCTAATAAGGCAAAACTATCTCTTTTTTTTCGTTTCTTTAAAGTTAGACTTGTAAAAGGGAGTACTTACTACTGCAGTAGCGAAGTAGATCAAGTAGGTAGGTGGAGATGGAAGGTACGGTTGGATTTAACAAAAGAAGTAGTGGTAGACTTCACCTTTTTAGTATTTTTGTATACACAAGCTAATTTTGTGTTGAGTTTTATATTTACTATAAATCAATCAACTTATTTAGATACTTTTCAAAGTTGCAAGATTTTGGTCCTGAAAGGGATCGATTTCCATACTAGTACTAAAGGAATATCGTGCTTGATTATTTATTTCCAAAGTGGACCCGTAAGTGTAGTTCACAATAGGCTAATAAATAGGGATTAAAATTAATGCTTTTTTATCTTTCAGGTATGAATATACATTATGTCGAAAATAGCATTTTATGATTTTTCTCTTCAAATGGTTGATCGAAGTCAATTAAGTATCTTATAGTGTTTAGAAGCACACATTTTTGTGCAAAGGCTATTTCTTTTTTGTTTCTTTCACCTCTGAGAATTCATAAGGTTCCGGGGAGACATGTCTAAATGGTATTATGTATCACTTCAGTATGGTATTTACTAAAGCAATGAAGAAGTAGCTATGTTATCTTTGATAAGGCTAACACCCCTCCTCCCCCCTCCCCCTTCCTCCCCCATATATCGAAATATATCTATAGAGGGGATTAGTCTAATCTTTAAAAACATTTTACTCATTCCCCCCACTGCAAGGAGGGTGACCGTGTGATGCAGGTTAGAAAAGATGAATTGGATACACTCTAAACTAAATGGGCGAGTGTTTTGCTAAGAGACCACAAAGAGAGGTCGAATTGAACCGTCTCTCTTTTCCTCTAACATCTTCCGCTAATTTGACACAGAGATGGTGAAACGAACCCCACGCGATAACGCATGGGACTCTACTGTGCGCTCTCATTCCTCTTCCTTCCTCTATTCTTTTTGTTTAACCTTTGCGTGTGGGGGTTGTCCTTTCCCTTCCCGGGGCTGTGTGTTGTGACGTTGCTGTGACAATTCTGCCACACCATGGTTACCCCCCATTCCCTTGCGCTTTACAAAAGAAAAAGATGACACAAGAAGACAAAACGAAGATGCTCAGCACTGGCCTCTATGAGCGCACACACATTCTGGTTGGCGACAACGGGGTCGAGGCGCTGCGGCGGGCCTGCGTTCTCGTCGTTGGGGTCGGCGGCGTTGGCGGGATCTGCGCGGAGGCCCTCGCACGGGCCGGCATCGGCAGCATCACCCTCGTCGACCCCGACACCGTCGTCACGTCGAACAAAAACAGACAGATCGTCGCCCTCGACAGCACCGTTGGCTGTGCGAAGGTCGACGTCCTCGCGGCGAGGCTCCGCGATATTAACCCCGACGCCCACATCAGCCCCCGCCGCATCCGCCTCTTGAAGGATGGGGATACGGAGGGGGAGGAGGGGGATGGAAATGAAAAGGAGGAAGGAGAGAAATATAGTCTTTTTGAAAGCGCCGAGGCGCTCCTCCAGAGTGACAAGCCGTACGACGCCGTCATCGATTGCATCGACAGCGTCGGACCGAAGGTGGCGCTGCTCGCGGCCGCGGCGGGCCGGGGTATACGTGTCTTCGCGTCGGGGGGTGCCGGCGGACGGCTCGACCCCTCGCGCGCTGGCCTGCGCGATATTTTTGATACGGCAAATGACGGCCTCTTACGGGCATGCCGGGCGGCGCTGCGGCGTCGCGGTATCGGGCCCGGCGTGATCACCGTCGTCAGCAGCTTAGAAAAGGGCCTCCCGCCGCTGAACCCACCGCCGCGCGCGGACGGCGCCGTGGACCCCCGACGAAAGGCTGTTAATGGAACGATCAGCTATATGCCACCTTTGTTCGGGCTTATATTAGCCTCCGCGGTGATCCGCTACCTGCTGGATCCGCAGGCGGCGAAGGAAAACAAGGCGAAAGAGGCGAAAAAAAGGAAAAGAGAGGCAACAAAAAAGAACAGGGCTCTTCGACACCTAAAAGGTAAAAAGGAACTCCCAAAGGACACTTCGTAAAATAAGAATAACTGTTAATAATTTAATTATGCTTAATAATGTCAATTCCCCACCCTGATCTTTCTTTTTACTGCTCGTGTAAAGTTCTTATTGTTCTGATTTTCCAATATCCTCAGTCTCTGGGTGACCTTCTCTACGTTGGAACGGTATTTAACACGGGGGTAAGTGAGTCATTTTCACATATTAGGTTCACAGCAACTTTGTGTTTTTTATTAGAATTGAACCGAAGCTGGAGATAATAGAATCTGTTAATAAGAAAAATTCACCATAGGTACACATTAGCATAATTGATAATAATTTTCAAAAAGAATGATGATAGCATTTAGACACTGGTTATACTATTAAATAATTACATTGATGCTGTGGCTGCGCCTTCTATATCACTTAACTTTCTTTATTATTTGTCTCTTTTTATTATTCTAATATTTTGATTTATTACTTTAGTAATTACCCTGTGCTTTTTTGCTTTCATGCATCAAAGTCATTTTCTTTTTTATTTGTGTACCTAACGCAGTTGCTCATCGAATTGATAAAACAAATTATTCACACCCAGGAAAAGTAGAAGTTTAGCCTTTTAAGGGAAATAAAGTGCAATAAAATTATTATTATTATTATATTTTTACTACTCTAGGCACTAAACTCCCTTATTAAGGAAACTTCTATTAATCTATATATAAAGATTTATATTTTAGAATATTTCTATTTTAAAAGGCTCATTCAAAATATATTTTATTTTATTTATTCGGTTTCCTAAGCCACTACGGAAAGGAACGGTATTATTATATAGGAATATTTCATCTATAGGCAGTTATTTTATTAACGGGATCAAACTCTTTCTTCCTTTTCACACAATAATAGCGCATTATTCTCACCGCGAAGCGACTGAAAGATAATCTTAGAATTGATATTACAGAAGAAATTGAGAGTTTATCTTTATATATAATCACAATATTCCTATTTAGATATTTATTAATATTTACCACCACAAATAAGTTATCAAGTGTGAAGGGTATCCAAACTCGGGGAAAAGGTGTCCTTAAGGATAAAAAACGAGTATACCCTTCACTTTTTGATTTTCTTGCTAGGCCAATATATTATATTTGATTTAATCTTTATATTCGTAGAAGCACACACTCCTTCGTTCTAAAAGTGTTTATTGTTGCCTTTATCACAAATTTCAAAGGACTTCAATTTAATCACTTTTCTATACACCTAGAACGAGGTAGAGAACGACAACCCCCTAAAAAGAAGGTGCCCATGGAACAAGTCTACGAAGATGATCGTAACAACGGTCCCAACATCAATTGCTTTATGAAGTTGTTCTTCAGCAATAACACAAACCCCGCCCCGTCCCCCCGCGCGGCGATCCTCGGCGACGATGACGCGCCGACCCCACCCCTTCCCTACTGCCTTGGGAAGTTCCCGGGTGGGCTCCGCCCGCGGCCCCCCGGG